AAAAAAAAAAAAAAAAAAAAAAAAAAAAAAAAAAAAAAACCCTTCCACGGAGCGTAGGAGAGAGGGAGGAGTTTGTGTGGCACCCCCTCTTCTTCTGAAAACTCGGACATCTTGACCCAGACATAACTTCCCACTTTGAAAGTCATCGGTCTGCGCTTCTTGTTGGCATGATGGATCATGGCATGCTGCCGCTTGGTCATTGCGGCAACATTAACTTTGAGCAAGCGATCATACTTCGCGTTGTAGCCAGGCCTGCCAGGCGTCAGACCAGCCGACTGTTCTGGGAACAAGTAGGAGAGGGGGTTGCGGACCTTCCAACCAAAATGCAGCCTGTATGGCGCCATACGATGGAAGAGTGAATGAGCTGTTATACAACCCCTTCACCGCATACAATTCTTCATCCCCCGTTTCCTGGTCAGGAATAATTAGGTGTGGAGACGTTGTGTCATGGGCTGGTTGATCTCCTCAGCCAAACCATTGGCTTCGGGGTGTTGACCAGTTGTCATCTTCAGTTTGATTATAATTTTGATATCATGGAGTTGGAAGTGCAGTCCCTCCAATCGGTACTTATGAAGCGGGTGTCGCGATCACTCACAAGGGTTTTTGGAGGCCCGTACTGCATAATGTACTTCTCGTGGCACTCACGGATCACAAGATCAGTTGGGGCATGATGTGGCAATGGAATCAGGTTCAAAAACTTGGAAAAACGGTCAACAATCATCACCACTTGCGAATACCCATAATTTGTCCGTAGAATCAATAGAGACGGACTCTCCGGGACCGTCGGGAATGGAAGAGGTTTCAGCAGCCCCATGGGCTTTTGCCTAGACAGTTTGATTCGTTGACAGACTTCATACTCGGCCAGAGGAGCCGAAATCTGGGCTTCTTTCTTTTTTAGAGCATTGTCTGTCAAGGGGGGGGAAGGGGGGCATAAATTGTTTTTAAGGGGCTAAAGGGGTTTAAAAGGGGGTGCCTTAAACCACCAGTACATGGCCTCAGCCTTGCAGCAAAATAACTTGTCGCCACAAGAAGTAAAAGGCGGGCTCGGGGCAGGGTCGGAGCGTCAGAAGGTTTTCAAATTTTTGGGCCCATCTCAAATCCGTACGTCCCAAAACAAAAAAAAAGCCTTTGGCCGTGATTGCAGTTGGATACACTTTTTGGAGTACTCGTGCGAGTTTGCCCTCAGTGAGGGCACTTCAGCAGAACGTAGAACACGGGGAGCAGGACTGTCGGACTCTCCAAAAAAGAAAACAAAAACAAAAGCCTTTGGCCGTGATTGCAGTTGGATACACTTTTTGGAGTACTCGTGCGAGTTTGSCCTCAGTGAGGGCACTTCAGCTGAACGTAGAACACGGGGAGCAGGACTGTCCGACTTTAAAAAAAAGAACCAAAAAAAAAAAGCCGACAACGCTTTGGCTGT